TTGAACCAGAGTTCTCAGCGCATTCAGCATCAAGATGGCGCAGACGTATATCCTATCAATCAATGCCGGTTCCTCTTCTGTGAAGCTGTCCCTTTACGCAGTAGACCCTGATAATCGTAAGGAATCAGCACCGAAACTTATCATCGAATCCAGCGTCTCAAAACTCACTTCTCCTCCTGCCGTCTTCTCATACATCCATCGGAACATAACCGGAAGCTCCCAAAAGGCAGAAGATATTACAAAGGAGCTTGAAGAGGCACTTCCCCACGATGCAGCTTTTGAGCTCTTCCTAGTTCACCTCTCGAAAGACCCCTCGATAAAAGGCATTTCTTCGGGTGAGGATATCAGATTTGCCTGCCACCGGGTTGTCCATGGGGGTGATCTTGATAAAGCGGTGGCAATAAGCCACGAGACATATCACTATCTCGAGCAACTTACAGATCTAGCGCCATTGTAAGCTGAGCTCATCGAATGCTCAAGTTTGCTTTACTAATGTAGAATGTCCCCAGACATAATGCTCCAGCCTTAGCAATTGTCAAGTCATGTCTCGAGCGACTTCCCAAAGCTCAAAATATTGCGTTTTTCGATTCCACTTTCCATCTTACCATGCCAGGTTATATCAAAACGTATCCGTTGAACGTCGAGATGGCTCGGGAGCGGAAAATAAGGAAATATGGGTTTCATGGAATAAGTTATAGCTTTATAAGCAGGTCAGTTGCGGAATTTTTTGGTAAGGTATGAAAGCTAATTATTCCAATATGACGCGCAATTACTTACAAATGGGCTATAACTGCAGAGAATTGAGGAGCTTAATATCATAGCCTTACATCTCGGCAGTGGAGCTTCCATCTGTGCCATTCAGAATGGCAAATCTCTAGATACAACGTCAGCCTTACCCTTTACATTCATGTAAATAAACGCTTACCCGTGTTTAATTTAGGATGGGATTAACCCCTTTAGAAGGGCTTCCTGGAGCTTCCCGGAGTGGAACAATTGACCCAAGGTAGTCACGGATGAATAATACTTGTATCCTTCTTCTGACCATTGCACTCCGGAATAGTCTTGTATTCCATTACACTTCCAACGCCGGCAAGATCTCTCATAGCAGCACTTCTACGATGCACATAAGCAAGGTTAATCTTCTCCAAGAATTCCTTGTAAACAATCACTAATCTCCACGATCCTAGGCCGAGGAAATCCTCAACAAGTATTCCGGCTGGACGGCCTTAACCGGCACTTCCAATTTCTCTGACATCGCCGCCAAGGCCAGTTCAACATCGATTGAGGACCAAAAATATAGACTTGCATTCGACATTTTTATAGACAGAATTATTGGGTATCTGGGATCCTACTATGTTAAGCTTGGTGGCAAGGTAGATGCACTAGTATTTGCTGGTGGTATTGGAGAGAAGAGCTCTACAGTTCGGAAAGCTGTCGTGGAGAGGTTAGAGTGTCTGGGTTTTAAGATTTTGGATGATGGAGGAGAGGAACGGGTGAAGCAGACAAACAACAGTGGAATCATTGATATATCTGCACAGATATCAGATATAACCGGATTTGAGTCAACTAAAAAGCAGATATTAGTTTGCAATACTGATGAGCAAGTGAGTAAATTCCTATATCCAAACTCTTGTATGTCCAAACTTTGTATTGCATATACTCACACTTCTCGGCTAAAATAGTTTGAAATGGCACGAGATTGTGCCCTAGACGACGATTTCTGGGCATAGCGTGTTCTCGTACCCAGACTATTATTTTCGGCTTTAGCACTGAATCTGTGAACCTCTTGGCAGCATCCAGTGCCCGTCTGGGTACGAGAACGGACATAGCGGAGGGTGTTGAAGAACTCACCGAGCCGAGTTTGCTTCATCTCAATGCGCAAGATATCGTCAACAATGAAGTGAATCCACTACCGCTCGAGAGAGATAGCTAATCCGAGAGCACCGTCTTACAATTGGTAAAGCACAGGTTATAAACAGCTTCACATACATACTCTTGACCTATCACATTGGAGCTATCTACCCTCAGATTCCGCGAATTGGATAATCGATATCTAGACTGGCACTTTTTTTCTTGCAGTATACTCTTGGATAAGTACCATATCAAGGATACATCTAAGACTAGTCTCGTAACCAGACTTATCTGAGACTGCAGTTCCATCATTTCGTTGCAGTGCCTGCCATTTTCTGACAGCGGAAAGGATTTAATGGGATGGAAGGGGGCTGAAACTCTCGGGTTTGAAGAATAATTATGGATCGCTAGTTATTACATGTATGTAATCGGATTCTTAACCGCAGCAGTAATAATGTATAGTCTCATGCCAAGACCCTCAGGCTGCTACTAAGGTCGTTTCAAAAGTATTGGGACACTTGGCTTGCATATTATATGCTATGCAAAATCCAGTATGCATTATGCTGCTTTGGATACCCGGCACTTGGTAGCACTTTGAGTTCTCTGCCACCACCTTGCAACATACACCTGAACATAGTCTGCAGTTATGAAAACAGCAATTAGACTAGCATACATGGCATAGCACTGTAACTAGATACATAATAATAGTGGGGATGGTGGTCCGGAATGGGTAAAAAAATTTGTCAACACAGTTGTGAAACGACCAATGCCGAAACGACTTATTAAAAAAAAGCTTCTGAAATAACTATCAAAACTCCTGCCAAAGCGACCGTCAAATGGCTACCGCAATGGCTGTCAAAATGGCTGCTGTAGTGGCTGTCATAATGGCTGTTGAAATGGCTGTCAGCACGGGTATAAAAGTTGTGAAAATGCTTACCGAAATGAATCCAAAACAGCAGGTCGAGCAAGCAGCAGTGCTACTCTCGCTCGCCTATCGAGAAATATACTAGCCAGTAAAATATGTATTCGGACAGGGGTACTAATGCACATTATGCGCTATGTCCGAATACATATTTTACTAGCTAGTACTAGTGCATTTCAAATACAGCATAGCGCATGTTACGCATTAGCCAGGTGTCCCAATACTTTTGAAACGACCTAGTAACGGCATGAGACTACATAATGTACATACTTCAGACACTTATGATTATCCTCGTGCGTAAGACCATTAAAATCGTGTTTACAAGTCGAGACTCGAGTACTAGACAGAAAAATAAGTATTTGGACAGGGGATATTTATGTGCCATGCAGTATTTTGCACAAACTAGCAAATCTTCGAATGCTTGGCGGTAAAGAATAGGTGAAAAGTTCAAATTCATTATGTCAGCTGTCCAAATTTCATCACATCAGCTGTCCAAATACTTTCTTACATAATAACTTTGGATACGTACCTCTTACAACATTCGGACTAGTCTTATGGCTACTAGGTCGTTTCAAAGGACCCTCGACTAATGCATATTATGTGTTATGCAGAATGCAGTATGTCCCATTAATTTGTTATTGTTTTACGTTTCCGACGGTGCCTGGCTATTGCACTTTTTCCGGGACTATACGTGGCATAAGCTTTACAAAGGAAACGGGGTTTCCCCCTCTAGAAAAGAAATCAGGAGCAAAGAAAGAAATAAACTCCACCAGCAACCCTCCCATCCTTCCCGTCCTCCTCCTCTACATCTCCTTCTGACCTCCTACCCCTGGCCCTACTTCCCAAAGTTGATAGGTCTAATTCGCCCCGCTGCCCTCATGCAGAAGTTTTGCGTCTTAGACCACTCTTCTTCTCCGAACTAAATATCAAAACCTGTGGGTACTGCCCGCCCGTCCCTGCGTGTCCTGTAAAGGCCTTTCTCCAGCCTCTCCCTTTTGAGCCTCCGGCATTTCCGCATAATATAGTCTCTCATTGCTGGCCTGTCCTTCCCGCAGAGAGGACACTCTGTCCTCTTGCGGGAGATCTCCATATATGCCCTCACTCCTTTGTTGGTCCAGTGTCTTAGCCCTAGACCCCATGCCTCTACCCCCAGGACCTTTGTAAACTTTGCTCTATCTCGTGCCTTGACTTCTGCCATCATAAGTTGTCTGGGTACCCCTGCATCCTCCATCCTGGTTCAACTACTGCTCTCTTAGCTTCTTTGTCTGCCCTCTCAGTGTTCTCTACCACTACCTTACCAACTCTATAGCATACCCACTGAACACAGCCTGAACTTTCAGCTATGATATAATGGTAAGATGCACCAATGCAGGTTGAGGAAATAACTATGCAGTATAACACTATTATACTATAATGTGACTAGATAATAATTGTATGGATGGCTGTCTGGAACAGGTACAAAAGCAGTTGTCAAAACGGGTATGAAATGACTTCAAAGCAGTTGCTGAGACAATTGTCAAAGTAGATTCTTTTTTTTGTTTTTTTTTTTTTTTCACGTGACCCCGCTTGTAGCTGTTCGCCATGGCAGGGCCAAAGTAGATTCCAAAATGACCATCAAAAGGTTGTTGGAATGGCTCTCCAAATGGCTATCGGAATGACTATCAAAACAGCTGCCGGAATGACTGCTGAAATGGCTGCCGAGATGCTGCTACAATAGCTGCTATAAAACCATTACTGAGATTTTTTGTCAAAATATCTTCCGAAATAACTGCTACTGAAGATTGCTACCGATATTGCGCTGTTACATGGCTGTTAAAATCGTTGCCGAGATGATTGCCCAAAATAGCTATTTGCACAGGTATAAAAGCTATCAAAATGGTTCCCAGAATAGAATCCAAAACAGCAGCCATGATAGCTGTGATTGTAGCCATGGCAGCAGCAAAGTATCTGCGATTGGGGCTTTTTGGTACCTAGTCAAAGGAGGCTAGGTTCAACCACCAAGAGCTTGTCCAGAAGTATACTAGCGCATACCGGATACTGCATATTACATATTCTACATTAGTCAGATGTCCGGATCTTTTTGAAATAACCTAGCCAAGTATACAAAAATATGCTTGTTTATGCCGAAAACTGCATAACTCATATTTCCCTGTCCAAATCTTATTTTTGTGTCTAGTATAAGACATAGAAGATATTATTAACCGTTATGAGAAAATAGCAAAAATGAAGCCTGATACGGGGCTCGAACCCGTGACTTTGAGGTTTTCTTTGACCCTACAGGGAGGGTCACTAAAAGCCACACGCTCTACCGACTGAGCTAACCAGGCAGTTCTTTGAATGTTCATACCTAATGATTTTTATGAATGTGGCCAAGTGTATTCCAACATTCAGAAGCACCCGCACCCTGCCTGTTATCAAGCTGTCTTGAGGTTCTAGCCGCTGTTAATTTTTATGGCGCCCTAGCAAGGCCCAGTTCTGCGAGCATATATGAAGGTAACGTTGGAAGGATTTGTCGAAGTAGTGTGATAATGCGTTTCATCACAAGTCTTGATTACAAAATGTTCCGGCACAGCCGTCTGCCGCAAAACACAGCAGAATCCCATACTCTGCGTAGTGCCACAGAAACAACCCAAACTTGAAGTGGTTATGCAAGGGAGAACAGAGCTGACTTACTGCATTTTCAAACAACACAATCTGCGCGCCATGTGGGGGCGAGCAAGTGAAGCTCTCTACCCATTCATTTCGTCGCTCAGTGTGTCAAAACAAACGCAGAAATTGAGTTTGCCGACGCCGGCCGCCAATGAATCACTTGGATTAGCCAGAGATGGTAGTGGATGGCGGGCGCTAGGGGAAGTGCAATACGAGGCTGAAGGAGGCGTGTAGGACTAGCGCGGTTTGTCCGTCCTGGCATACCAATCAGACTGGTGAGAATAGCGCGGGTGCGGTTTCGTGGAGCCCTCAAGTTCCGCCTAATGCCGCCCTGGCGTACGGACGCGGAATAGGGCAGGGGAGAGTTACACGCTTGTGTTATTGATCCTCCAGTCATGACACCTATTTAGCGCAGCACAACCAGACAGGATACGCTTAGTTGCGTGCAGGTGGAACAATTGAAGGTTCGGATTCATTGCACTAACTGGATGATGATGGGGGTCCGGTACCAGGTTTACTATACTGCTTCTCATTTTATCTGGGGATCCATCTGGAGGTCTCAAGTTGACCCTCTACGATACGATTTGGTACCATTGTGAATGATAGCATTAGATGATCTGCGATAGTCCCTTCATTTCGTTGTGTGTCTATATCGTACGATTATGATTCTGTTTGTGGGGTTTGCTAGTTCAGCTTCTTCCGAGGTTTCTCTCATCTCTGGCTCGCGCGAGGGGTGACTGCAGGCGAGGCTGAGGCAGCCAAGGAAGGAATGTAAGCTCACAGAAACAGGAACTGCAGGGACATGACAGTAGGATAGGACTGCAATACAGCCTTACAACACTCCCATACCAAGGTGATTTTGCCCCCTCCAGTCTCGAACTTGCCCCTCAAGACAACCCTACAGGCAGCAAGAGGAAGAAAGCATTGAAAACTCTCGACCTTGGCCAAGGCACACCCAAAAAACAATTTCAAATCAAACAGCCCAGATGATCCCATCTCCTATTAATTGCTCTACCGACGTAGGCCGTAATCATTTTGGGCTGCCAGCCTCTCATCCCACCCACCACTAACTACCACCATTCTTGCAAGTGAAAGGATGCATAATCGCACACCCACACACAAGCAAGCAACCTGCCGCTCCCGCTTGCTCACTGCCTCCCTTAGATCATACTATTCCGTTATTTATTTATTTATTATTTATTTATTTATTTGTTCCCAGTGTCAATCTCGTCTTGCCTCATGACTACCCTGGGCGTTGGGCGGTAAACCAACTGGCGTTTGTAATCTGTCGTGGCGTCAAGTTCGACATTGTTCTGTAACTGACAACCCGGATGGATTACCCGCCGCACACGCCACACACGCCTCTAACCCAGATAGATTCGGGTATCTAAACAGAAGCAGCAAATAACAGATAATGAGTACCAAGATGCAAAGGTGCAAAACATCCGGGTTGAAACTAATGAAAAGGCTGGAAAAAGCCAGAAACATGATTGTGCACCTTTAATCAAGCACCTACCCCCTACCGCATCTTGCTGGCCCCACCGCGTATAAGCTCAGAAGCAATCCTTTATACTTTATAATTAAACGCCGCAACAGCTCACACCCAACCAGACTACCTCACATTTCCATGTATTGGCTTCCTTTTTGGGGAGATACAATAGTACACACAAGTCAGATACGTGCCTGATGTACCCAATGCATGAAGTACACGTTTGCACGTCTGTTAATGCATAACCGAACCTTGAAACAGGAAGCAATGCAATCTATCTTCAAGCACCAAAGACCTGCAAAAAAAAGAAAAGAAAACTTTAATACTATTCCGTGTCTATTTCCCTATGACTACTAGGTCCTGACATTGTGCTGGCAATGCAGGGGGCGGCCTCGAGTGAAGCTGCTCTTCTGCCTTCCACAACATTGCCACGCAGGTTGTGTAATCTGTGTAGGGAATATATGTAATTCCAGAAACAAAACTCCATGAATTCCAGAAACAAAACTCCATGTGTCTACAGTGTGTAGGCAAAAGTCTTCGGGACTATACAGTTTAAGGAAAAGCGCTTTACCAAGCCTTGGAGTCACAAGCATGTATGCAGGAGGACCTGCCTTGAGAAAACACAACAACTCAACCAAAAGTATTCCTTTTTGAATTTTGAGAAGAATTTAGATTTTATGATGCCCATTCATGTGGTCTCTTATTTTTTTGCAATTCTTTACCTACTTTATTGATTCTTTAGTGATTTTTCGAACAGTCCTGAAAAAAGAGGTGCAAGGAGGAGTCAGCGTCTGGGCACGAGACTAGCAAGGAGGGTACGCTCGGATGCAATTCTTGCTTTTCCTTACGCTGCATAGTGCCGAGGACTTTTGCCTACACCGTATTAACTCAGCCAAGACATCTTTTGCGCGGCATGCATTATCCCTTGGGCTGGTGAGACACGCCTACACTTGCATTAGTGGATCTTGGCCATGTTGCCATAATGGATATCGAATTTTACTGCATTTTCGAGATTGTCTTGGGATACTGTAAGCGCAGGAGTTTCAAAAGGCTTCAATCTTCCACGCAGCTGGACACAATAATAATTGAACTACTACGTACTTGATTTGTGATGAGCTTGAAATACAGACCCCTCGACCCGCTCCCCTCACTAGAGCCTACGAGGTATTCAAGGTTAACATTTTAACGATTCCATTGAACCCAATTTCTCGCTTACTCACAGTTTCCGCACGAATGGAATTGATATTATAGTAGCTCCAGAGTTTTTCTATCAATCTATGCTACAAGCTTCCACGGGTGTTGAGATATCGCTGTGGATAAGGCCTTAAAATCAACGTTGAATATCCTTGTAGTATATGTAGTCTCGTGAAAGACTATAGTCTATGAATACCTATTGCATATAAGCTCATACCAACTTATTGCAATGGGGCATCTACGAGACCAAAAAAAAAAAAAAAAAGAAAAAAAAAGATTTCTATAAGCTCCTAATTACGTGGTATATGTAATACATAAATATACAAAGGTACTTGTGTATATGTATTATTCCAATATCAAATAGGTCTCACAAATATACGACGAGGTCGACAACCATTCACAGATCAATAAAGTAATTTAGATAGAAGTTCCTTCGATAGCAGGTACCCAAGACTTGCTCTCGTTCCCATCCTCTTTGGACACAGCTTAATTAGTAATTCTTTTGGTCGCTCTGTAAATGCTACGACTGTGCCTTGTCGTGTCCTGTATTCCCTGATATCGTGATCATGACCCTAAGGCCTCTCACAATGCTTTTTCATCAGTTACTAGCGAGGATAGCTAACTCGGCTCTCCAAGAAGGGATGTTTCAACAATATCCATACAAGTGTGTCAGTTACTCGTAATTGCCTCCCATCACTGTGACCTTCGGTCGTTAAGATCTTGGTGCCTTCTAAACTCTCTCGCTTCCAAACTTGTACAGTAAAGGAGGGACGTTCATGTTGCAGCTGAAATACATAGATAATGAGCATGAGACTGCATCTGAGTATACCTACATTAAGTGCTTGACAGTGTCTGAGGTAAGTAACTTACTCAACAAGTTGGTCGCCTCCATTTCCCGAAATGGGTTGCTTATATCACACCTGTCGTACCTTCTTCAGCGATCAGATTCTACAGACAGGGATACATTGGATACAAGTACACACCATGCATTACAAATTGCTGAAATGATGTCCCAGTGGTCGCTGATGGACGACACCCTCAGAAGTACATGCTACGACGACCGCGATCAAAGATTACACGCACAAGATCGACGATTTCTGTATAATTGGAGGCTAATTATGCTTCCTCCCCTCACGAACAAGAAGCGCGCAGCAACATACTTGCGGACTGCAGAGAGTGACTAAGACTAAAATTATAAATAACAAGTATCGATAGCAAGCAAGCTCTTTTGCCAGTTACATCTTAAACAGACACAAATAATATGTGATACATCTCCAATCTTTTTCCAACAAAGCAAGCAAGATACCAGACTGCCCATTTTACAACAAATTTGAGGCAGTAGCCATCATGAGAAAACCATGTCACATCCAACGCTTCCACCCACACTCTCAAGAACTCCTTTTTTGTAGCCGGTCAGCACCGCTTAGCTAATAGTCTCCTTTCTCCAACCGCTCTTTTGCGCGCTCTCGCGCCTCGTCGGATACCGACTGGTTGGAAATAGTACTAGATATCAAGTCAGTCTGCACCCTGAGAAGATGGACTAATAAGGGGTTATGCGGATAAATTCACCCGCCCCATCCGAGGAGATGTTTAGGCCATACTATGGCGATGCAGGATCATGTAGAAATTGTGCAGATCATGCGTATGGCCAAAGGGGGATAAATCCTGGAGTATTTTCGATGCCGCCGCATGATATGTGTGCATAAGTGCAGTGGATGGTAGCGCGAACTCAAGATGACCAGATGAATAACTTACGCTTTCAGTCCTCTCTTCACGTTTCCATGGTCCTTTTCTTGCGGCGCAGAATGTGCGGTCTCACCCCCGCCGTGTAATTCGTCAAGAACTTGCCTGGAGTGGGCTTTCGCTTCCTCAGAGGTACCTGGTTCGTTTATCGAAGATCCATGGCATGTCAGCCCAAGGTACTTACTAAAACGTACTTGCAACCAATATAAACAGGAATATTATGTTGAGTTCAAACAGAATTGCTTGATTGAA